TAGGTATTTTGATCAGTGTGTCAACTTGGCTTTTCATAGTACATAGTACAGAAAATGCACGGTTAGATTTTACCCACTATAAAATCTGTATCCGGGTGGATAAACCTGTGTAACGTATTAATTAATATTCAAGTCCTGTCGATATCATAAACTTATCCGGGTAGTGTCGAACTAAGCCATTATATGCCTTGCTTTACCCCTTTATTCATAAAACCCTCTTCATTAACACCGTTCAAAATAAAATATAATCTGCCCTCAGCATAGTGTAAACACAATTTAACATAGAAAGTTAAATAAATGTTTATTTGTAATAACATAAGATATGGCAATCTCATAAGAAATAGACGAACATGTGGTTTAGTAACAGAGGTCCAACTTGAAGATAAATTAATATATGAAAACACGTGGACACGTTAGCCCCGTCTTACCTCCCTCGGACAAGCACAAAGCTGGCGCGGCGAGGCCGCAGAGCAGGCGAAAAATAAAAAACAGCTCAAATACAAGAGTCTTTCCTCCAACTTTGATTTTGTTCCCTTTAGAGATTAGTAGTAGGAGACTCTTGGGCCGTGGGGTTCAAGGGCACAGGCGCTTATTAAAGATTTAAATTGGCGCCTGGAACTAGAACTGGTGCTTTCTTCGTTCAAAGAGTAAGTATTGCAATAGGTACGGCGAGAAAATGCTACAAACGTTAAAGGTACTCACTCTGCCACAGGGAAAACACTTTTTAAATTTGTTTCATTTTCTATTTACCAATTTTTAAGTATTATTACTATGTAGGCTGAGAAAATTATCAATACTATATAGTTGTGGATTATACCTATCAATGACGTTTAAATGATGCGTTCTTTTTGCATAAAATATTTTTAAAACTAATTTAACACTTAACTGGTTCAAAACATTCGAAACGTGATGTATACAATGTTGATTGGAACACAATTGTAGAATTATAAAATTGATATTTGTCACAAACATTTCTTATTTTCGAACACATCAAGCGTAAGAAACAATATTACACTCCTATGTAAATTTCACACATGAATAGTACAAAGTGATTGCCTGCAAGCTCCCTTTGAGTGGGTGAAAAGATAACAAATATATGGAAATATTGCTTGAATGTGACGTCTTCAAGAATACAAAATATACTGAATAAAGTATCGCTTTATTTATTTCTATACTCGTACATGTTTTAAGCTAAGCAACAGATTTCATTTTTAATTAATAAAGTAATTTCCGGTCGTCTGTACGCTTATATAATACGCTTTCTGCTTCTACGCAGAATAGCTAAACAATAAAAGGAATTTGTAATTTACCAAGATCTTAGAATTAAAAAAAAAATTAAAAGAAAAAAGAAAAGAAAAGAAAAGAAAAAACTTTATTATGCACAAAATTACAAGACATTTAGATAAGGTAAAGTGCACTGGCCCCCACACTAGGATTCCCTGTGTTGTGGGCAGCCAGTCTCTTCCTTTTGACACGTAAACAGTATTTTAGAAAATTATATTAATTATTTCTACACATTTATATTAAAACTATTTTTGCACAATAAGAATATTTTCAGTATCAGAATAGGACAGGTTAATAAGATATTGTTTCAGATGTTTAGTAAATGTATGCAATGTGATTTTTGAAATGTTAGTGATAATTTTGTTTTTAATGAAGTGGTTAAAGATGAAAGGGCCTCGGAAGGAGAAAAAACGTTGGGCGAAGAAAGTGCGAGTTTTAGGCTGCTTATATATAGGTTTGCGATTTGTTTGATGCGGTGCGGTGGGTGTTTGTTTCCAAAAAAAGTCTGCATATTGCTACTAAGTATAATTGTCTCACAGTTAAAAGTTTTGTTTCATGGTACAATTTTGATGTTGAATAGCGGAAAGGTTTCTTATATGCTATCTTAAGAATGGCACGTTGGGTGCGCTCAATTTTCAGCATCGAAGACAATGCCGCTCCACCCCAAACCGATATGCAGTAAGATAATATCGACTGGCATAATGCAGTATACACTATCTTGATTGTATGTGGATCAGCAGGCTTTCTAAGGCGTTTGAAAACATTTATAAGTTTACGAACTCGAGAACACAGGTAGTTTAAAATTTGAGGGCCCCAACAAAGCCTTGAGTCAATAATTAATCCCAGGTATTTGGTTGTTTTAGTGGGTTCCAGGAGAGGACAGTTGCAGTTGCTGTGAAGGTTCAAACATGAATGTAATTTAATAGGAAGAACAGTGTTTGGTTTGCTGGATTTCGATATGTGAAAACATATGTATTTGGTCTTAGACGTATTTAAGGATAGGAGATTATCTAAAAGCCATTGAGAGATTTGGCGAAGACCTAAATGAGCTAACCGTGTGGCTTGTTCCCAAGAGTGTGAGTAGAAGACTATAGCTGTGTCATCAGCGAAAGAAAAGAGTTTAGCATTAGTGAGTGCGAGTGAACATAAATCGTTAATGTACACTAAAAAAGCGTTGGACTAAGAACACTTCCCTGGGGCAAACCACATGAAACGTTTTCTAGTTGACTGCTATACCCATCAACTCGAACCCTCTGCTTTCTATTGAATAGATAGGACTTAAACCAACAGAGGATATTTATACGAATTCCTTGTCTTTCTAATTTTTCGATTAGTAGTGGTCTGGAAACAGTTTCAAAGGCTTTGGCTAGATCAAGAAAAACACCAATACACCTTTGTCCTTCATCTAACTTGGAACTTATGGTCTCAACCAATCCAGCGGTTGCATCCTCTGTAGATCTATTATGTCTGAATCCGAATTGATTGTTGGCAAGGATAGATTCTTTTTCCAAGTAATTTAGTAATCTGATGTTAATGATTTTTTCTGTAATTTTAGCGAGTGTTGGGAGTAGAGAAATGGGACGGTAGTTTGAAATTTCCATTTTATTGCCTGATTTATGGATGGGTGTGATATAAGCTGTTTTCCAAGATTCAGGGAAGATACCTTGTTCAATACTAAGATTGCAGATATAAGAAATTGGTGCTGCAATAATGTTTTTTAATGAAATGACCACTTGGTTACTAATATTATCATCGCCAGGGGCAGAATTAGGCTTAAGAGAGCTAATAATTTTTGTAACTTCTCGCTCGTCACAGGGAAGGAATAGAAAAGAATTCGAGTTCGCGGTAATTGAAACTTTATAGCAAAGGTCTCGTTCAGTCTGATTTGTCTTAGACAATATATCGGAAGCCAATTTATTACCCACCGAACTGAAATAACCGTTCACAATATCGAGAGATTTTTCAGGGTTCTCTTGTAGATCAAGAAGTTTATTAGAATTGGATTTAGTTGGGTTTAAGTGGCATATATTCTTGATAGATTTCCATAGTTTAATTAACCAGCGACTATTTCGTGTGCACACTGGTTTGTGAGAAACACGGAAATACACGAATATCTGGAGATGCCAACCGTAAAGGAAGTAATCCGCAAAAACAGTATTAGATACAGGGAAAGGTTAACCAAACATAGAAATGAACTGGCTAAGAATCTGCTAACCCCAGGAGATGATGTAACTCGCCTAAAAAGATGGCAAATACTAGACCTAGACCAGAGAAACTGACCTACAATAAAAATCCAGTTTCTACCAACACTTACGGTGCCTTTCAATGGAATCGCACCCAACCAAAATTAACCTCAGAAAATATCTGATTATGGCTGATAGCCGATTGCAGATGAACAAGAACACAAAAAAATAAAAAAATAAACCAGCGACTATTACACATAACAAGTACGTAATGGACGTTTTGGTATTTCAAAAATTAATAATAAAAGCCTTTTATTTCAGATACTTTTACACTTAAACACATTTATATTTCTATCATTTCAATCTTTTTACATGCTTTATATTAGCTTCACCTGTATGTATGTATGTATGTATGTATGTATGTATGTAACCGACTCCTTCGGACTCGATTTTGACCAACTTTTAACGGACAGATTTAATTCAAGCTTTGCGCACCTGTCAAAGATCGATGACAATGCAATAATCCGAAAAAAAAATTAACTAAAAAATAAAAAATTAATAATAGTTTAAAAAAACTAGAACACACGCTTTTAAAGCACATCAAACTAAAAAGTGAATAAATAATTGGGTAATAATTGGGCGTGGGTTGCTCGATAGACGAAAAATATGGCACAGAGCAACCCACGCTTTTTCACAATAATACCAGTATTTTTTGTTCATTATCATTTTCAGCCTAAATTAGGAATTATTAAATATCTGTGTTTCCTATTTTGGCAAAGGCCTTCAAATCCCGCCATTCCTGCCTGCACGGTGCCACTCTTTGCCATGTACCACATATACATAACATTTATATCGTAGTACATTACATTTTGTAGGTACATACAACATTTGCTTAATATGATCGTGAAAAAAGTATTTGAGTAAAAAAATCTGACTAAGTTATGTAGTACTCTTAGCAGTCAGTCGAATGAATTAATTTCCTTGACGAAATACAGTTAAGCCATTATTCAGAGGCCAGCTCAGGTCTGAAAGGCAATAAAAAGCCTGTTTTGCACTTCTCAAACACGATATATCGGGCCAATGGAGCAGAATTGGCACACGAACACTATACACCCGCTGCCAAGAACATTTTGACTTTGATAAAACTTTTATTTCCATTTTCAGATTTGGATATTTCGTTTCTGTTAGAAATTCAAGCATTTTGTTTGACGCGTGTCAAACACGGACTCATGAATATATTGCTACTCTATATATACTGTTCATAAAAAGAGACTCTAACGCCTAGCAAAACTGTATATTTATGTTTTTATGAAGTCAAATTATCTCTAATGGGATGTCCATCCATTGACGTGGCCAGTTCACAGGAATTACGTGACCTTGAGACATGGACCTCCTAATCGAAGGCGGTAAACATTTATTATAATTAAACTGTTAATTTAATTCTTATGTTACCTCTTCAAAGAGGCCACTAAAAAAAATTTATGGGTACTAACTAAAAAATCATACAAGATTCAATATTTTATTTTAAAGGCTTTATAGGACCACACTACGTCCATATCCAGGGTACCCATGGTCGTAGTAGCCATTATTGTATAATCCATGACGAGGGTAACCTGGGTAACCATGGTACCCACCATGGTAACCGCCGTAGGGTTGGTGGTATCCATATCCCCGATGATAGTACGGGTGATAGCGGGATGCGTGTGCGCAGCCAATTGCTACGACTACAAGAAGAAGCAAGAGTGCGAACTTCATCTAAAAAAAAATATATAAGATATAATTATTTTTAAAATAATAGCCAGGAGAGAAAAAAATTGTCTGGACAAGCTGTAATTGTAGGGAGGAGTGATCATCTACCCGTTGGTCTGACCAGATAAAACCAATTATGGTTTTCAAAATTCCTAATGTACAAGTTAAGGATAGAGTGGTGTGGAGGCAGCAAGTCGACGTATCGGTTATGACTTTTCAAACCGGCAAGACCTTCAGTAATGAAATTTTACAATGATTTGTTTTATAATTACTTTTTTTAATGATTTTATTAGATCAAACGTCTATAACTAGAGAACGTTGCTACCACGGCTAATAAATGAACTACCCAGTCAGTTATTATTGTTATTAGATAACCTTAACTTAACCAACATAAAAGTAACGTAAAAAACTATTTTATATGCATTTGTCGCGCTCCTAACCGAGACTGATATGGTTAACATTATATAAACCACAGTGGTTTTCTAATGATTCATTATTTATTATTCTGTAAAATTAAAATAGACAACAAAAGACACATTTCTGTACCGGTTATACGGCATGTGATCTTTGAACAAATTAATATAAAAAAAATATTCATGGCTACAACAAAATTAATAACCGAGCAATATACGTATATTATCGTTTTTAAAAAACAGCTTCAGACACTACTGGCTTTAGAGACTTTACAATAAAAAAATAAAAAAAACATGCTTACATTTATCAGATTACACAACCGTTGTTCCAAAACATAAAGCTATTTAATAAAAAAATTATATAAAATGTCTTATATACGTAACTAAATAAATTACTTATTCAATTTAGCGTCATTAGTAAATAGAAAATATTCCTAATCATAAACGGTATGTTGTTAATCGGTCTTCAATTTGTTTATTGATTATTTTCGATTTAATATTGAACTAACAAGAAATCATTTGCCTTAAATGTGGAATGATTATTTATTTGTTTAAAGTACTTATCAATAAATAAACCCGAATCTCGTTTTACGACATAGTAACAACTAAAATACAAAACCCAATATATACTGCCACAGGGACCACACTTTTTAAATTTGTTTTATTTATCCATTCTTAATCATTACTCACTCAGCCGGGGATCGAACCTACGACCTCAGAAATGTGAGTTGCAATCTAAAGCCACTAGGCCAACACTGCCTAATCTAAGTCTTTCTTTGTATGTGCGCATTTAATATCTGCTCATACGTCTTGCCTTAGACCCAAAAAGTGGACGGCGTGTGTCAGGCACGGGAGGCTGATCACGTACTTGCCTATTAGATTCATTAATGATCCTGAAACAGATACAGATTCTAAGGCCCCGACCAAAAAGAATGTAGCGCCAATGATTTACTTTTATATAATATAAGAATGTTGTAAATGCTGTATTTTAATTAAATTAAAGAAAAACATAATTGGTTTCGCTAATTATTATATATTATAGTATATTTATAATATTCGTAGCAGAAACGTGAGTAGTTGACGATATAGGTCACAATTTGGATAAAAATAACATTGCTATTTCCAAGACATCAGTTTCCATCGACGTAAAATAACATCTATTGAAAACTATTTAATCTCGCGAGCAAGTTTATTCGCGACTGGCGGAAATGAAATCGTTCAAGTGAATACCAAGTGACGCGAGCACTGGATCGAAGTATTCACAAAATGCAATGCCACTATAATAGTAGAGAAATACTTGACGTCTAATCCACATTTCTGTATTATAATGTAAAATATCGCTTTTTTAATGTGCTTATCGCGAAAATTATATAAATTATATTCGTTATGCTTGACAAAAATAAGATAAATATTGTTTGGATATTTATTCTATCGTAGCAAACAGGCTTAACACGCAAAACGTATTAAAAATGTTTACTACAAACATCAAATAATACAACAAGTAATAAAAATCAATGAATTAGTGGCGCTACCAGCTTTTTTAGATCTAGGCCTCAGATTTCTATATCTATATCATTTGTGAATCTAATAGGCAAGTAGGTGATCAGCCTCCTGTGACTGACACACGCCTTCGACTTTTTGTGTCTAAGGCAAGCCGGTTTCCTTACGATGTTCTCCTTCACCGTTCGAGCGAATGTTAAATGCGCACATAGAAAGAAAGTCCATTGGTGCACCGCCGGGGGGATCGAACCTACGACCTCAAGGATGAGAGTCTCATACTGAAGCCACTAGGCCAACACTGCTCATCAAACAAATATGCACAAATAATCCTAACAGCCTAATGTACCTTTAAGTAGGAAGCGTTTTATTAATAAATTGTTTTAAAGTGGTCTCACTATACAGGAATGACAATATAATATGATAAATTAGGACTCGTACACCATACTATAAAACTTCAGTACAAAATCCAGCTAAATTGCATCTAGAAAATCTTTTTATTCATATAAGATCAAGCCCCAGCTGGGTTTAATCTTTTACAGTAAGCGCAGTTGCCATTCAGTTGGGAGGCTCATTTCCTTCACGTTACTGTTGCAAGCGAGAATGGCTGCAAACTTATATTTTAAAGTATAATAAATTTATTTATGATGTTGGTTATTCCTTTAAATCTGGGTTAGGATATTTCTCCATTGTGTTTAATATATTACTAGTTTCCCCCGCGAACTTCGTTTTTCCTTAATGTGATTTTACTTAGCCTACCTTTTTAGTACATACCAACATGGAACATTTTGTTTTGCTACCCGAGAGACTGTTCGGTTTTCTGGAATGAAAACTTTTTAGGTTTTTCTGTGAATTTATCTCTATATAAACCTCAGAATTAAAGTAATAAGATTTAAAAAAAATAGGGGTCGATCGTAGAGGGGTGAAAATTAAAGGTTGTATGTATTTTATAAGCTTTAAAAAATAAAAATTTATTAGTGAACCACACCTAACATTTAGGGGTTTGAGAGATAGTAGCCGATTCTCAGACTTACTGAATATGCTTAAAAAATTTCATAAGAATATGTCGAGCCGTTTCGGAGGAGTATGGGAACGAACATGTGACACGAGAATTTTATATATTAGAAGATTTGAACTTCCTTTTCCACGGCTTGTTATTCTTTTATGTGAGTGTTATTAAAAGATATTCATTCATGCGTACATTTGCAGGCTAATGTTCGGTTTTAATAAATAAAATACGGGTCGTATTCGCTACGAGTGGTAGGTATAGTTAACGCAGTTTTTTTATCCAGAATAAAACATGTCTCGTACCAAATGATTTATGAAGGAATGATGAATGAATGATATATATTATTCGCGTGTTATTTCTTATCTTACCAGTTTCTATATTTACAATGATTGGCTAAGTAGATGCGGAAAATTCATCAAAATATACAATTTAATAAAATAGCTACCATTACTAATCAATCTACGGCCCTGTGTTTAAAATAAATTTCACTGAAATATTTTAATTTAAGAACATTTAACATTCGCTCGAACGGTGAAGGAAAGCATCGTGAGGAAATTGGCATGCTTTAGTCTAAGTCTAAAAGACTACTAAAAAGAAACAAATAACTGATCACCTACTTGATTATAAGATTGACAAAAGATCATGAAACAGATACAGAAATCTGAGGCCTAGAACTAAAAAAGGTTGTAGCGCCAATGATTTATTTATTTGTAAAATATTTTAATAAAAAAATGGGATTAAAAATGTACATTTTTTATCCAGTTAAATTGATAAAATATGACGTAAAAACTTTACTAAAATATCAGAATTTCAAACAGATTTTTTTACTATTCAAAGCTCATTGAATGAAAGCTCGGATTAAGCAAACTTTCACAACTATTCATTTTTCGTAACAGGTGTTTATCAAGTCAATTCTTCTTAAAATGTTTTTAAAAAACATTATATTTATTTTTGAATATATCTATAAACTTATTATGCTATAACAATAATCAAAATCAATGAAGATCTCTTCAATTTAATTTATTTTGAATGTTTGCTTGAGTCGCTCTTATAAACTTAATTTATTTACATAACAAATAAAGAATTCCGCCGTCTAGAAGCTATGTCGGGTTTCCATTACATAAAAAAGATCTTTTACTAGACAAATTTAAGTAATCTTTTAAGACATGTTTGCCTATATATGTTATAGTTGTATGCTTGTCACATTAAAAATTATATATTGTGGTTCTTTTACTAATGTATCAGTGTGCCAGAGTTGGCAAGATGTTTTCACTAAAAAGAAATCTAAGTTTTGAAGGTATATAAGTAATTCATTTAGAACCAGGACTGTTTGGACAAGTTATGTAAAGCCTAGTGGTTAAGAATTCCTATATGCGCAAGCGATACTTGCTGGTATTCCCAAGGAAAACACCGTGAGGAAACAGACATTCCATAGACCTTTATATTTGAAATTGTGTGTCAGGCATTGAGGCCCGCACCTCTCCGGATGGATTGTATGTTTTAAAATCTACAAATGAAAAAAAAGCACGGGCTGAATGTGTATTTATTTATTAAGACTCATACCACGAACTCCATGTTTCAGGGAAACCAAAAGTTTGGTATGGATCGTAAATGAGACTTCTAGAGTACATTGGCTGGTTCCAGAAATTTGGAAAACCAAAATAGAAACCCGGGTTGTACTGTGGGTATCCGTAAGATGTCTCCCAGTCGACGACAGATTCTTTCTTGAGTTTGTCGCCAAGACTTTTGGCCATTATCACCCCAAGAGTGAATGTAAGAAAGAGTAACTGAAGCTTCATCTGAAAATAAATTTATCCAAGAATTTAAAAAGATGGCAATTTCAAATATATCGTATATTAAATTGAAAATGTACGGCTGCACCTTAAAACAGCTTCTATTTTTTTCTACATATTTTCATCACTCGGTAATTATAGTGTACCATGCAATAATTTGGTGGCGCATGATCTTTAAATATAACCCCATATAAATTAATTGAAACATAATGATTTGTAAAATGAATTTTTGGCTTAAACCTAACCTAACGTAACCTGATCACAAACGCCACTTAGAATCAAAAAAATTATTCTCTAAAACTCGGAACTGAGACATTATCATTTACCTTAAGCATGTAATATTAACAGTTTTTTATTTTTATTTTTAAGGGGTCCAAAGCCATGCGCCTCCTTAATATTACTTGGGGTACTACACTACTATAAGTCTTAGAGTACAATAGAAAACATTTGGAGCTGTTTTAAGGTGGAGCCGTGATTCGACAAATTTACTAAAGTAATTTATAATAATTTAATCGTCTTCGAATAGCTAAAATTGCATATTCAAATTGTTTACTAGGAACTTATATTGTACACTTCCCCTAAGTAATGTATAAACTGTTCCCTTAGTTGTAACATCATGTATTTAAATCGAAGGAATCATTTCCATATTCTTAACCTTTAGTTTCTGAGAAATTTGGGGACAAATACACTTACGAAATTAAGCAGGCGTGCTTGGAAGCCTAACATATACAAATATAACAAAACCTATCACTTTCAAACGTCAAACTGATACATTTTCAGTTAAAACATAAGAAATATTGTTACCTTGATGAAACCTCTTCGGATAAACAACTTAAACAATCGGCGGCATTCATTTATAACGAAATCTGGATATTAAAATCTCATCTGAAGTAACCACATTTTAATTTCTTTGTCATGTTTCATTAAGATGTCGTAAAAACACATCATAAGTGTAGATTAAGATGCAATAATGAAGATCAATAATTCTAGTGACATTATTAATTAAATAACACAAATGTTGTATGCCTCTTAAACTATCTTCTCAGGAATATGCTGGATTTTATTGAGTACTTGTGGGAAGTTGATATGGCTGCGAAGTAAGATTACGAGCACAGATATATGTCTGTCCGTTCGTAATGTTGTCTTAACATAATGTTATTAGTCCTTTCGTTTTTTAATAGGGATAAAACAGAAATAGTTTAAGTATATCTGTAATACCTATTGTACGAGCCAAGGTGTATATATATAGTGTATACGTTTCAGAATTTCTCACAGAGTTACGTCTCGAGTGTATAGCCAGCCACATGCCTTCTTTTAAACTTTTGACAAGCATAGCTTTTTAATACCGTTAAATACATTCACACTTAATCTATATGGTGAAAATTATATCCTCTTTTATTTCCGCCTACTGAGAAACCGTACACCTATAATCTAATGTTTTGTTACAATTAAAATTACAATTTGTTTACAAATATATATATTGCAAGTATTAGGCATTAGTTTAATTTAAAAGATACAGAGCTTGTAATATAATTATTGGAATGTTATATAGAGTTAGTTCTATTTAATGACAAAATCCAACTTAATTTTTCCAAGCAGCTAACAATTCAAATACTAATTATCTACATACAGATTATATCAAATAAAGCACTAATCCACTAAAGCGTTATATAATTTAAAATTGCACTAATTTTCCCATCTCATTATAATTGATATAACACTAATAATTCACTAATTAATTGCAAAGTTAGTGATGCAAATTAAATGAAAACATTCTAATATCGAAATGATGTTTTATATAATTAAATTGTTTACAGTAGTTTAATTATAAGTTAATTAATAATGACAGTGTTAGGCAAGATTTTTATATATTTCTTATTTTCTATTCTTACAGCAACTCATTGCTAGATAACATATGTATGCATTAGTTAACTAAGAACACACAACAACAAGAAGAAAAAATAAAACCTAAGCCTTTTTGTAACAAATTTTGAACAATGCGACATTTGTAAATACACCTTTTGATGTGTGCTGTGTTGTCGCTTGGTTAGCATCAGCTCAATCCAAAGAGTAACGCATGAAAGAGTCCTTCAACGAATTAAGACTACACGAAACTTTATGCACTTTTAAAATACGGAATTAAGTCGCATATCTCGAACACGTTTTATCTCATCATCGATACGACTTGATGCAGATCATAATGATAGGCAAAATTCAAGGCAAGAGGCGGGCTGGTAGAAGGAAGAACTCGTGGTTGTGGAACGCACGTGAATGGACCAGCGGAAGTGTTTAGAAGAAGAAGAAATTCAGAGCGTGCAATGGAAAAGATCAAAGATGCGTAACAGTAAGCTTCGATGGATTGTGATTGGTCGACAGCATCACTGGACCAACCGCAGACACGCGATATTTCGATTGACCAATCACAAAAAATGCCCCCGTCTCACCTATCGTGTTATAGTCTTAAACCCCCGGAAGGCTACGAAGGAACTTCCATATCCCAATTTGAATATTGAAACGTTTTCAATTTTAATAGCTTATTTACACAATTAAATTGGGCACACAAAGCAGGGATCTTCTTATATTGTAACTATGTGTGTACTTGGTATAGACTCTCCTTTTTAAAATCAAAGTATCTCTCTGTTACGTGGAGTATTTTAAATTACTATGCATTTTAATAAAAAAATAATGTTGACATGCTATAATAGTAAAAACACTTTTCCTCATACCATGTCACCAAGGTACAAGAAACGAAAAAGAGGAAGGCAACTTAGACGGTGGATAGATCAAATTAAAGAAACAGCAGGTGGTACATGGCAGAGAGTGTCACAGTGTAGACAGAGGAGGAGAAAAGAATGAGATAGAAATAAATATAAATGTGTTTAAGTGTAAAAATATCTGAAATAAAAGGCTATTATCATTATCAATAGTCAATATATGTTCTCTCTAGTGCGGTATATGAGCATGCGTAAAACAAATGTTTGTGGCGCTATTTCGTATAAAACGTCACTCGCTGGTGTAATCAATAATTATTTCGTGTTGCAATGTTTGTATAGATGGTAACTTTAAAGCTCTGTTTATAAATTGATTTGGACTTAAATTTGGATATTTTGGTTGCTAGAGTTAGTCGTGTCTTGTCAACATTTCCCCGTTTATTCAAGAATTATTTTATAGCTTATCATGGAACAGCGAGCTAATTTTTGTATTGAAGTTGTAAATTATATACTAAGGGATACCTCGATTAGTATGCAAAGTGCTCATTATCTAGAAAATGGTTTACCAGTTGATGTCTGTGTCACTAAGTATACTAGTTTTCTTTTAACCTTTAGCCGTTTAGTACAGTTAAACATGTACGACGGAAGAGTAATTAGTCACCCACAACACAGGGATGTCCCTAAAGTGGGATCGTATGGATATTCAAGCATATATTTCTTTTAACTTCAAAATTCAGTCAAGCATCTAATACTACTACTATAAGTATATAATAATATCCTTTACATTAATATGTAAGTGTTTTCTGTTCTTCATTACTCATTTTTTTTTCTCACAAGTGCGACTTTACATGAATTACAGTCTAGCCTATACAATAATTATGGCTAATAATAATCTACAATACTATTGAATACCTTAAACTAAGGTAATATTCATTATCACTCTCAGTGTTCTATAATGTTTTGACTATGTTCGTGTTCGAGATACCGCACTTGCACTAATATTCACTACACTACACTAGTTTTAGTCACTAAAAAGGTTTAGTTCTCTTTAGTTGTCTTCTTCTTGTTGTATCAAGAAGTTGGATTGCCTCTGCCTCTTTTATCCGTAAGAACTGACTTCCAAGGCAATGTCGTGGAGTGGATTATGGAATTAAGATAAATTAAAAAAACAAGTACAATACAATCAAAATAATTTATTTACATAAAATATTATATCTATGCGACTGCAGCAGTTGTCGGCTTTGTACTGATATCCTTTGCTGGATGCCAGGGGTTCACCTTGGGGTACCACGGATGGATAGACGGTGGTTGATTCCAGTTCAGTTCAACCTGCTGTGGATTTTCTGACACCTTTTCGTAGAGTGGCCGAAATGGTTTTACGGATACTGGTTTAATACCATTAAATATAGGCTTTACTGTCGATAGATTTTCCTTTGCCGGAAGGGAATTTACCATAGGTCTAAGATGAATAGGGAGATGTGGACGTTTCAGTATCTTCGACTTGACAGGGGATACAATTTTTTTTACGATTACAACATCGAAAGGTATAAATCCAGGCTGGTTCCTGGAGGAGCGGTTGATTGGTTTAGGTGAAACAGGTTTTAACAATTGGTTAAGGAACCAAAGAGTGGACAGGTCAATCTGATCTTTTTCAAAAGGAACTACATGTTTTTTTACCGATACGTGCTGGGATTGGGATGGTCGAGGGTGGTACAAGTGGTAATAATTATTTTTGTTATCATTATGATAATGTACCCCCTTTGGGTGTTGATGGTTAATGGCTTGCTGATTCAAATAATAATTTAATGGATAAAACCGTTGAGGCCGGATCGGATGTGAGGGCTGTGATTGAACTGATGATGGATAGGACCAAATTGATTGCGAGTCATGGGACCGACCTGAAGGAACTGAAGGCTTGTGTGATCTTAAGAGTGGATTGTAATGACTGTTTAAATACCAGTTACGTTCAGCTCCTTGTGAATTGACATTCGGTCGGTGGATACTTATTGAAGATGGCCCGTCTGATTGAACATAGAAAGGATCGTAAGATTTTTTGTACGAACTATGTTCATTTTGGTGTGGCCGGTTTTTACTGATGAGATTCGGTTGGTGAGACTGTCTCCAAGACGGCCTACTGAACTGCTCTGTTACCGATGGATAAGAATGTTGCGATCTGATTGGGTAAGATGGGTGGAAGTTCACTGATGTTGGCTGATATGACCGTATTGGGTATGGGTGGTATGCGTTAATGGGATGGTACTGTCTATTTAAGTTCCAATTTCTAGGGTTCCAATTGTAGCTAGGCACACTGTCTGGGTAAACATTGTATCGTTGTCTTGGGAAATAATCTTGCGCGATTGGTCCTTGATATTCTTCCGTCCGGAATGGACGATATTCCTGGTTCTGGCGTTGAGACCAACCAAGTCTATTCCACGGGTGGTTTGCGTAAACATTGTAGTTGTTTCTAGAAGACCAATTATCTTGGTACTGTCTGATTGGGTACTGTTGATTCCATCTATTCTGATACGAGTAGCTGGAGCCGAGACCCATGGGATACGGTAACGTTGAGTAGGGTTGAGACCAAAATTGGAAAGGGTTGAGAGTATATGAGTTCCAACCGTTCACCCAGTTTGGAGTAAGATAAGATCTGTGCCGGTCTTGATTCCACCAAGTGGGCTGCCAAATTGGTCTATCAAAGTTGGCTACTAGATCATTTCTTTGAAGTCCCCATTGAGCATAGGTAGCTCTTAAGCATACAGCTAGGCTGATAAGCAAGAGTTTCATCTGTAAGAATATATAACAGATAAATTAATATGAACCACCTTTTTGAGTTGAATATCTGAAATCATATTTCAACCTAAAAGTTGTTTTCATAATAAACTAAATAGAAGAAGTAAAACACAAAACAATGGCTGACACTTTGAATAAACAAGTAGTTTCAGTGACTGACGTTAATATTTGAATTGGCTAAACCAACATTTGTTGAGGTTCACCTTATTGACTCAACAAATATATTAAGAGCTGAGGACGAAGGATTGTAGTTAGATTTTGCGACTACTGTTAGTAGAAATGTTAAGTAATGTTTACTTACACACATTATACTAGCGCACATCGCGGTGGTAAAAATATCACAGCTACTCTATGTATTAAAAAAGAATATATTTAATGTTAATAGCTGAATAAATTAACATATTGTTGATATATATAACAATAATTGAATCCTTGAAATTTAAAAGTGAAACTGCTTGTTTATTTAAGTGTTAATATTAAATAGTATTCAATAATTAAAATTCGTGAACTAAAAAAATATATTTCTTACCTTGCCTGCTAGTGGACAGATCAATGATACACATATAATTTCACTTTCACCTTTTATATCAAATTATGAAATACTGTCGAGTAAAAGTTCAATTAAAACGCAATTTAATTTTTGGTTAAAAGATAAACGTCTGGTCAATAACCACAGAACCGTGTTATCAATCTAATTAGTGTTCGTTAATTAATATGATGCCTCTATAATAATTAGAATTTAAAAAAAAATAGAATATACAATAAGCTGTAAAACATTGGGTTGCGATTAAATGATAAACATAGTATAACTGTAATCTCAAATATTAATAAAAACTTAACCGTTTTTTTAATATAACAGGGGGTAGCAGGCTCAGCTCAGTATCATGGTAAGTGATACCGCCGCCCATAGACACTCACATTGCTAAAGGGCTAGCAACAGCGTTGGCGGCCTTTTAAAAATTGGTTTGCTCTTTTCTTGAAGGGGTCTTTAAAACTGCCTCAAGAACGCTCTTCATGCTTCGTATTCTACCTCAACGCCCGTTTTAACTGATATCTAGATAAAACCCTGAATGATTTTTCTAGTCACAACACCACAATCACTTAACAATGTTACAAAACAACTTACATAATATAGTATATTATAATAATCCAACTTGTTTAATGTCAACAAAAAAATAAACGTAAATATCTGGGCACAATCGTTATTCATTTTGTGTAAGCAGTTTTACCATAGAGAATAAACATGTGATTCTTAAACCTGTGGTTCGTATCTCAACTCTATCTCGTCTCGTACTCGTAGGAAAACATTCCCGCCCAAAGATCAACATATGTTTATCAGATGATTTAAAGATGAAGATGAGACCCATCTTTTAAGTTGGACTTTGTTTCGAGTTTGGTTATACGTAGTACTAGGTTGTTTTAGTTTTCTCTAAAAATATTATATATAATGCTTGGTTTGAGAGCTCAGTTTCCGCAATTAGATCATTTGGTCAGTTGTGCGTAAATATAAATAAAAATAAAGGGATTTTTAAAAATTTGATACTGTAGTGTATTTCAAACAATATGCACACTCGAAGCGGAACAGGTATTTTTAATTAATCAAGTAATTAAAGAAATAAATCACTGTCCGTATTTAAATCTTAAAGATAAAAGTTTTAGAAGGAAGTAAACTAATTAAGGAAACTTTGTTACGAAAAGAAAATCGTACGCAGTCTAGAATACAAAATAAGGTTATTTTTAATTTATTGTCAAACATCAAAATCACTTTAAATTATATTTTGATTAAATGTCAAAAAAAACATAGGTATATTTTACATAGGCAAGTCAATGTAGAATGGATTTTTTTCAACAATAATAAAAATTGCGAACGGAATGTTCTATTCAGCCTTACCTACTTGTAATGTCTAGAGTCTAGGCGAAGAGAATCTGCAACAAAATTGTCTCGCCATTCCCCTCATGTTTCAACGAAACTATTTCCAATTTTGCTCACCTCCAAATTTTTGGTCAATAAAACAAATGAAATGGCCCGCCGCTCCCCACAAAAGAAATTCAATTCCCCTAAGAATGGCACTTTGCCGGGTTTTCAGGGAAAATATGATGTAAATAAAAAAGTTTTTGCAACAATATTCGGCGTAAAGTGGCACCCTGTTGAGTCTCCGGCCAAATTAGTACAATTGGATTTGTGAAATCTCTGATGCTTTGAGAAATCTCATTAATCTTTTCTTAAGCAAAATATCCAAGAGAGTTCGTTTATAATATACAATTTTACAGTATAAAACTCGATCAGTACAGTAGATCAATATTTGTCTAAAATGAAATCAGACATATAAATTTGTCAGAACTATAAGTGAAATAACGGAACAGACATTTCTGCTTCAAAACTACAGATGTCAAAAATATGCAATTAACAAGGTGTTATGTATGTATGTAAAATAATAATACCTTTTTAGCTTCAACAAAAAAAGTACAAAATTTCACTCACAAAGAATGTATACATACACAAGTAGATATATTTACTATTTACTGGTATCTATGGTAGATAGCTAGTAAGCTAAAATTACAATAATTAGAATATAATCACGTTTTCAACGTACTATATTAGTCTAGTCGACAAGTTGAAAATGGAACAAAATAGAGATACTGCTCTTAAAATTATGTGCGATAGCTCATTCGAACCGGAATGACGCCTAGAAAAATGTGCTAAAAGCGTGTATTAGCACATAAAAAATTGCAAAAGTTATAGACCATTAAAGATGAAAAAAAATGGAATTTAGTTTTTTGCCAATATTTAATAAACTATTAATATTTAAGAAATTTCAAATAAAGATTCTGAAAGAGGAGGAAATTTCCAATAAAAAACTCTCAGCTCCCGGAACTCTATCTCCATTATTTATAACTTTAATTTAACGCTGAAAATAGGTCTGTGCGTGACATTTTTAGGATTCGCGCGTGGCGTCAAAAGCGACTACGGCACATTAATTAATTTATTTAAGGTATTGAATATTTTTTTTAAATTTGAAAAAATTATGGTGTGTTCTGAACACTATAATTAATTTATTCCCGTTGGAAATTTTACTTAAAGTTAATTTTTCAACAAGTTAAATAATTGTTAACTAACGAAATTTTCTCGAACGACCGTCTTAATTGTAAGTGAAAAAAAATGTTTTAATAATGGTCGTAAAAATATTTCGCTTCGTAGAGCCTTTCTTACATACATACTTAACAAGATCGTGCCATAAAAGTTAAAGAAATATTTATACTTTGTTTATAACAATTTTTTTACTTAAACAAAAACTTAAAAATCCAAGTAATGTTGTTAAAAAATTTTTTTTTTTTTTCTAAATCATCAAATTATCGTTTTTATATTAATACAAGATATTTATTGATTTGCAAAAAAAAATTTCCCGCCATTTGTTGATAATTTTTTTTAAACAAATTGATTAAATCAATTGTTTTAAAAAAAAAATTTCACAACTTTATTACATTACAAATATTATGATTGTTTAAAAAAAATTTCCTTAATAACATATTTTAATTGTTTATAATCGTTTTTTTTATATTTCTATTGTTTAAATAATTAGTTAAGAAATTTTTTTTTTTCTAAAAATCATAATTGACAGTCCTCTATAAAGTAACAAAAATTTTTTTTTAATCAACAATTCTATTGTTTATTAACTTACCAATTTGTTATAAACAAATGTTCAACTTTTATATTTTTTTTCTAAAACTTCTAAAATTAACAAAAACAAACATATATAACAAAGTCTATAAAAAAAAAAAAAAAATTTTTTTAATAAAAGTAATATTCATGATAATCAAAAAATTTAAAAAAATGTTTTTCTATATTTTGTTATATATGGTTGTTTTTGTTAATTTTAGAAGTTTTAGAAAAAAAATATAAAAAGTTGAACATTTGTTTATAACAAATTGGTAAGTTAATAAACAATAGAATTGTTGATTAAAAAAAAATTTTTTCTGTTACTTTATAGAGGATTGTGAATTATGATTTTTTAAAAAAAAAAAAATTTCTTAACTAATTATTTAAACAAAAGAAATATAAAAAAAACGATTATAAACAATTAAAATATGTTATTAAGGAAATTTTTTTTTTAAACAATCATAATATTTGTAATGTAATAAAGTTAGAAATTTTTTTTTTAAAACAATTGATTTAATCAATTTGTTTAAAAAAAATTATTAACAAATGGCGGGAATTTTTTTTTGCAAATCAATAAATATCTTGTATTAATATAAAAACGATAATTTGATGATTTAGAAAAAAAAAAATTTTTTAACAACATTACTTGGATTTTTAAGTTTTTGTTTAAGTAAAAAAATTGTTATAAACAAAGTATAAATATTTCTTTAACTTTTATGGCACGATCTTGTTAAGTATGTATGTAAGAAAGGCTCTACGAAGCGAAATATTTTTACGACCATTATTAAAACATTTTTTTCACTTACAATTAAGACGGTCGTTCGAGAAAATTTCGTTAGTTAACAATTATTTAACTTGTTGAAAAATTAACTTTAAGTAAAATTTCCAACGGGAATAAATTAATTATAGTGTTCAGAACACACCATAATTTTTTCAAATTTAAAAAAAATATTCAATACCTTAAATAAATTAATTAATGTGCCGTAGTCGCTTTTGACGCCACGCGCGAATCCTAAAAATGTCACGCACAGACCTATTTTCAGCGTTAAATTAAAGTTATAAATAATGGAGATAGAGTTCCGGGAGCTGAGAGTTTTTTATTGGAAATTTCCTCCTCTTTCAGAATCTTTATTTGAAATTTCTTAAATATTAATAGTTTATTAAATATTGGCAAAAAACTAAATTCCATTTTTTTTTCATCTTTAATGGTCTATAACTTTTGCAATTTTTTATGTGCTAATACACGCTTTTAGCACATTTTTCTAGGCGTCATTCCGGTTCGAATGAGCTATCGCACATAATTTTAAGAGCAGTATCTCTATTTTGTTCCATTTTC